CACACAGAGCTTAATACATTGGCATGCTGCATCACAGCACCTTAATAATTAACCCCTCCTCCTGCTGCTGCTACAGAATTGCATTGCTCCCAGAGTATCAATTGAAACTCCTATTCATGATTCATGAGGAAAAAAATTGAAGACAGTGTATTTTTCCATTAGCATGGATTAGGCTGGATGTGACTCCGGCCGAGGTTTTAGCATGCTGTGGGTTTAACAGCACGGACCGTGAACATCACATGTACGTATTTTCATACATAGAATGAACCCTGGCTGTATGACACATATGAATTAATCAGTGTTGCCAAAGGATGTTTATCCTGGGAAGTGTGCTCGCTTTCAAATTTAGACGTGTGCTTCGCTGTAAGTGAAAAAGCAGGTGATGGAAATTTCCCATCATGCCCGCAATCTGTCCTCTCCCCCAGTAAACTCAGCAGATTGTATTTTCTGATAAGACAACCAACCCCCTCCATTAAACAGCGTTGCCATGACGCCTGAAGAATAGTGAGGAAACACTCCAGCATCCACCTCGACACCTACCATTACCATTAGTAGCGCTGTCTTACGGCACACGAGGACTGAAAGATTCGTACTGTTAATGGTTCCTGAAATCCATCATAGTGCTTTCTGCTATTATGAACACCGTGTGTAATTATGTTGGCTTGACAAATACTCGGGGTCAGCGGGGTTTCTACAAGTGCTATGTCTTTTCTAACCACTCAAACTTACACTTTTCCAGAAGCAGATGGTTAAAAAAACAACAACAAAAAAACTCTTTAAATGTCCCGTTTAAATGTTATAGTGGAGCATTCAAGCAACATCCAGAATGTTCATAAACTGAAATGCCAACTGTCGAGTTGTAAAAGCTTTTAAACAAAGCATCTCTAAAACAGAAGCTGTCTCATTTCGAAGGCTGCGGCCGAAAATTAAACGCAGCAAATTAGCTCAGATCCTCTAATTTGGCTGGCTGAGAAACGAGTGCAGAGTCGTAACAATCCAAAAGAGACTTTTTACTGTTTTCATATCACTCCGCTTGTCTGCGTTTGCACATTCCATACAGAGTCTTTTTTTTAAATTCATGTTAAAAACAACTTTCATGACATTATACCAACAAGTATGGAACAATAATAACTTTCAAAAAGAAAAGAAATCAGTAAAACAGTAGTTTTTGATATTTTTGACAAATTTGCCAACCATATACTGTATTTCTAGAGAGGTTTTTCAATGACTCAGTTGGCAACCAGTAAATGTCTGTATGAGTAAGTCAGTGAATCATTCACTCAAATGATTTGTTCAAAAATGATTCATTCTGAGACAAAACAAGTGACTGGCTGCATCTGAAATCCAAAATGTAGGCACTTCTGAATAAGAAATTACTTGTCGACTGTTAAAGACGTATGTTCTATAGTTTGAATGTGTGTAGTATGAATTTTATTCATATGCATTTCAGAAATAGTACGTCATCTATTGACTTAGCTGTTTTATGAATACTGTGAATTCTGACATACTACTCCATGCACATATTGTTTTTCACCTAGTAGGAAAGTATGCGATTTCGGATGCAGCCACTGTCTTTATGAGCGAGTCATTGAATTATTCACTCAGCCTGATAAGTGACTGATTTTTTCAAGGCACAATGCGGTATTTTTCATAGGAATCACCACAATCAGTAATTTCGAGTGAGGATGAACAATTTTTCCACAGATCTTGCATTGGTTTCAGTTGATCATGCAAATTTGCTATATAGACCATCAGACAGCTGGTTGATTTGAAATTGACTTCTGTGTGACCTTTACTTCATACATACCTACGCTATTTATAATAGACAAAGAGCATTGTTAGCGTAACTTTAGCTAATGTGAGCCACATCTTTACTAATTATTAACTTATTGCTTATTGATCTGTTTTATAAAAGAAATACCACATTTGCCATTTTTCTCTTTTCAAATTTAAAATGACTCCTAAAATCTGTCAACCTTCGAAACACATAATAGGAATGGCGTTTGTTCTTGTTGACTCTCCTCAGTTTGCATCACAATCCACAGGTTGACACTTAATCAAATACTGTCAAAGGAAGGACTGTACGCCCCGCTATTAGACAGCTGGTTGATTTGAAATTGACTTCTGTGTGACCTTTACTTCATACATACCTACGCTATTTATAATAGACAAAGAGCATTGTTAGCGTAACTTTAGCTAATGTGAGCCACATCTTTACTAATTATTAACTTATTGCTTATTGATCTGTTTTATAAAAGAAATACCACATTTGCCATTTTTCTCTTTTCAAATTTAAAATGACTCCTAAAATCTGTCAACCTTCGAAACACATAATAGGAATGGCGTTTGTTCTTGTTGACTCTCCTCAGTTTGCATCACAATCCACAGGAGATTAAGCTCACTTAATCAAATACTGTCAAAGGAAGGACTGTACGCCCCGCTATTTCTCCATCCACAGGTGCAAGGTCATTTACATTGCCAAGCGATTGTCCCACACACACAACCAGGTGTTTAAATTCTCTCTCTCTCCATGCCTTTAAATGGCTTTTCCCCCTTTCCTGTCCTTTTTTTCTCTATAACGAGAAATCCGTTTGAACGACTCCACTGCGACTCGGTGTTAGAAATATGCAGCTTTAATTCTGAGCCCCAGAGCCTTTATTGCCATTTACATCCTCATTACAAATGACCAGGAATCCATTAGGTTCCTGTCATCCCCCGTATCTCATTAAGATGGGCTCTATCTAGCCCACTCCTGGAGGCCTAGCCCAGGGACAAAAAGAAAGTAGAGATCAAGCACCTTTCAGGAGGACGTTCACATACTGATGAGGTGACGGGGTGCAGCCACTAGGTATCTATCTATCTTTATTCGCAGAAGGAGAGTTCTTGGGATATATGGATAGTGCGGTGGCTGAGAGCATAAGGTAAAACGCATATGAAGGGATTGACCTGTGGGCCTACAGGGGCCAGTCACTTAAGGAGTCAGTCTTTAACTCCCATAATGCACTTTGAATATCATGCATGCATTCATAGATAACCCATCTAATTCAGCCTATTTGAGCTCTTGCCTCTACAGAGAATAGTCGTACTGAGATTATAACTATAGAGAGTAAAGGACCTTCCGCAAGGACGATACCCTATTATGATAACTAAAACGGTTACGTTTTAATAACTCTATGAGAATAGCGAAGTGTTCACATAAGGTGTTTATTTTGCGAAAATAACCGGCTGTGCATTTTCCTGATTATTATATGGTTACTTGACAATTAATACAATATTGAATACACGATGGGTGCTTTCGAAACACTGCTTCTTGAAGCTTCAAACCCTTTGCGAATAATTTGTTTCTTACCAGTGATTTGGAGTGTTTATCAAATTGCCACGTGATTTCAGTATACAAAATTTCAAAGATTTTTACCTGTTCCCAGATAAAAAAAAAATGGTATAATATTTGAAAAATATATCTTTTATGCATGTTTGTCCCAAGTTTTCGTTGCTTATACACCATTCTGACCAGCAGACGGCACCAGCGTGTGGTGTTTCGAACGCTTCGAAAAAATGAATCATTTTGCGAAGCAATTGGTTCAAAGGTTCGAAAAGCTTCGTTTCTCCCATAAATACTTTCATACCTGTAGCCTATATTATCTTAAAGTTAAAAAAAAAACGGATTTAAGACAAATCATTATAGCAATAAGACTTAATTGCACTGATATTGCAGTGAGTATTGTATAACATATCTTTGTATAACATTGTATAATTGTATAACATATCTTTGAAACTTCTTTCAGATTTATTTTTTATTTTTTTAATTTATTTATTCATTATTCATTCATTCATTTGTTTATTTATTTATTTGGATGAACGATTAAGACAGCCAATCAAAATCCACCTGGATTTACATAACGCAGCGTACGTTGTCGTCCGTTTGACGTTTGTATGAAACTAGAGGACGCACTGTGATTCATGAAAAGTATGATCATTAGGAAAAGTATTAGGAAACACCTGGCCACAGGACACCAAGATTGGCCAATCAGAATCAAGTTTTCTAGAAAGTGCCATGGTTCAAGAGCAGCAATAGATCTTACTCAACCAATGTGTCCAAAGAAGCAGATGATGGTTCTGCGAGCCTCTTCATCCTCCTCTTCCTCTTTGCATCTGACTGCTGCACCGGCAAAATGGGCAAAATGGTCATCGATCACTATGAAAGCCCAAACCGAGCAATGTGGAACTCTATAGAACTGAAGTGACCGAAATATTCCAGCTTTTTCATATTTATTAAGACTCAGACATGATGATAGATGAGCAGAATATCTGACACAACCCGCATACTTTTAACAAAACCAGAATATTGATGTCTGTAGCAAACTGCACGCTTGTCTTAACTGATTGGATTCATATAACTGAGAATATTACACATATTACGTGGCGAGTTCAGAAAGTTATGCGTTTTCATTCTGCTCATTAAACTGGAAGGAAAAGCGCTTGATCAATTTGAGCATTTCACATTACAGCACATATTTAACACATTCCAGGCCTCCGAATCTACATTCCCTGAGAGTACAGAAAAATCTCATCTCAGTTGGAAAACCATTCCAGTTTTATTTACCTATTTGAAGGAATTTTCCTGCTGACATGTTTAATATGGTCCACCCTAGTTATGGTGTTAGTGATGAGGGCAGAAAGGAAACGTCTCTTTCGCTCTCAAGATGGGCTACGTGATACACTTGATAACTAAAAATACTTGTGCTTATTTTAAATGCCTTTCATTGATTGATCTGGGACAAATTGGGGAAATACTGCTATTTTAAATCGCAATCAATAGTATAATCGAAACACTGACCTGAAGGATCTTTTCTCCTGGACAGCTTCCATTGATTGTGTTTGTAACTAATACCTCATTAACTACACCTGGCATTCATTAGTGGGAGAGCGCCCTCTAGTGGCTGCAAATGCAACAAACATATGGCATACAAGCAAAACACACGCATAAATATTCTCAGCACAGTTTTACCAAACAGTAGATTAAAATATCAAACAATTAGTGTTTCACCATACATTTCTATTTTAAATTCATACATATAAAATCACTATAAAATGTTGCTCTTTAACATAGTCACTGTAAAAACTGTGGGATTTCAAACATTCACATGCTGAACGGTTTTTGCTACACCGCTTGGTACAAAAAAATCTAACCAATCACACAACCCAGTCTGCAGGGGTGCTGGGCCACCCGGGACCGGTTTAGACCCAGCGTGAGTCTGAACCTTGTCCACTAGGACTTAAATATCAGGCTTTCTCCGCTCAAACTAAACCCTTGATTAGGACTGGCTTCAAACCTAGTCCAGACTAAATAGTGTTATTCCATCACAAAAATAAGACCAGTTTTAGCATTAGATTAAAAAAAAAAAAGGATAAAATAATTCAGCTGTCTGTAAATGGTCCGGACAGTAACTTCACTGGTTACAAGATGGATGTGATTCAGCACGAAGCGTCTTCAAATTAGCATTTCATTATTCAAACATTGTCTAGTCTCACAACATCTAAAATAACAGAATACAAAAAAATGACGGTACATAACCGAGTGTGAAATGAGCACATAATGGACTTTGGATAAAGCGTATGCAGATATAGAAGCGGTTTTCTTGATTAATATGTCATGAAAAGGCATTGTCGGTGAGTCCCGTCTCTTTCCCAGGACGATCAGTAGAGTCTTTGCATAGAGGAGAGGGTCTAAAGACAGTCTTTAAGGCACGGTGACGTGGAAAGGGCTTCCGGGCACCATTTCTTCGCCCCATTTGACTATCAGGATGTAGTCGCCTTTCTCCTTCACTGTGTATGTGACATTGTACATTCTGTTGCCCATGTGTTTGACGTACACTTCCTCACAGGGAGTCTTTGGCCCGTGCACTCCTACCATTAACATGTTTGTCCCTGACGAAACAAAATAAAAGCCGTTTAGTCATCTGCATGAGAGCATTATGGGTAATATGCACAAACATGTCTTGTCCAGAAAGCTGTACCTGCTTTACTGCAGTCCACTGTGAAGGTGTTCTTCTGGCCAATGAAGGCTTTGGAGAGTCCGGCCCCCCTGGAGATCACCTTACTAGCGTCAGACAAGAACTTTGGCAGAGTAGAGAAAGATCCGGCCACTGAGGACGATTTCATGACCGTTTCCACCAGAACCGATGACGTTTCGTGTAGAGAGTGTCCTCCGGAGAGACGTGCACCTGGAAGAGAGGATTTCCTCTTATTATTCTGCTTCTCTATGAAAGATGAGTTGAGGTGGAAAGATGTCCGCTGTCATTTTTTCCCTCCAATCATTAGTCTCAATCTCAAGTCGCATATTTTCATAGTTGTCATAAGCTTGTGTGGTTTCAAATCCACTCCATCATGTTGTATGACAATCTGCCTGATCATATAATCTCAGAACCAGATTTTCCTATTTCAACATGAGCGCAAGAAACCTTTGTAATAATAGTTATTTACACATTTATGTATTTGTCCAGCTTTTTTTTATAAAGAACAACAAAGCAGTTTTTGTTTATAACCACGTTTTATTTCATATTTTTTTTATATTTTGAATTATATTTTTATACTAATAATATTTAGATTTTATATTTTGTGTTTGGGTGGACTACAGATGAAAAATACTCTTTGGCCAACTGTGCCGTATTTACAGTAATGTCTATTAATGTGTGTAATAAAAAATATATAATATAATACAGGCACAAGGACATCAATAAACAGTGCATTAGCAATTAAAACGTTAATAGGTGTAGATTTCAAGGTGGAATAAAGCAGTGTTTATTATTCAATATTTTCATGTTGATAACCATTTTAATATTTTCGATTTTGTATTATATTTTTATATAAATAATATTTAAATTTTCGTTTTTAGGGTGGAATAATATAATATAATATAATATCAAACATTTACATGCTGAACTGTTTTTGTTGCACCACTTCAGGTGTAGATTTCAAGATGCTGTAGGTTTTTTATATCTAATATTTAAGGAACAACAATGTAGTTTTTTCATGTTTATAACCATTTTATCATCAAATTTGTTTTTTATTTTATATTATATTTTGATATTAATAATATTGTGATTTTATGTTTTGTTTTTTGGGTGGAATACAGATAAAAAATACCCTTTGGCTAACTGTGGCGCATCTACAGTAATGTTTTTTTAATGTGCACAGTAATAATTTTGTTAAATTAATAATAAAAATAACAATAATATAATAGGGTGGACTACAGATAAAATACCCTTTGGCTAACTGTGTGTAAGCCGTCTCTGTGTCTGTCCAAGCATACGTAAAGAGCAAAAAAGCCTAGTATAATGTACTGTAGTGTGTGATGTCTCACCAGAGACTTTGGCTTTGAAGGGGCTGCCCACGATATGCTGCGGTCCTCCATATTTGATGGAGATGAGGTAGCTGCCGGGAGCCATGGGTGTGTAGGTGACCTTGTATCCTTCTGGACACTCCTGACAATCCATCTTCACCTTCGATGGGCCGTCGATGGTGACCGACAGAGCTCCTGAGCCAGCGTTACACGTGTTTACAATGAAATCTGACGCTACACCTGTGACGGATGAGATGAAGCCAGTGAGTTTCTGTGTGTTTGTGTCTTAACACTCGTGATTGGCTGTTCATTGGTGTTGTACTGTACCTGTAGTTCCCCCCTCCAGTCCGGGCCCAAAAGCCGTCACCATTCCTGGATCTCCTGCCTGGCCGGGTTCTCCTACACGGATCTTGAAGGGACTGCCTGGGATGTGACTCCCGTTAAAACGGACATCGATGGAGTGGACGCCGTTCTCCCGTGGAATAAACCGTATGGCGTGTTTATCTGCACAAAAACAGGCGCAGTGTTCAAATGCACCCGCTATCTAACTAATATCAGTTGTACGGTGTCTTTAAATTTTACAGCGATCATATAGTAGATTTGGGATCTTAGATAAATAATAATACATAACCTAAAATAATATGATAAAAAAATGTTGAATCAAAATAATATATAAAAAAACTGAAGAAAAAAATATATATACACACACACAAAATAATCACAATATAAATGCATATATATTTAGATAATATAAATAATAATAATATATGACACAAAATAATATATAAATAATGCACAAAATATTATGAATAATTTAAAAGCATATTACATAATTAATAATATATACAATTTAAAATACATATATACACACGTGTAAATAGTATATATAATATAAAATATAATAAATAAATAATAATATACAAAATAATATAAATATATATATTTTAAACAATAAATGACAATATATAAAATATCATAAATAATTATAATAATATTGATTAATAAAATAATATATTATATAATGAACACATATATATTTGGATAATATAAATGATAATAATATATAATGTAAAATAAAAATATAACATAAATAATAATTCACAAAATAATTAAATATTATAATATAAATTGTTTAAAGTAATGTATTGCATAGTGAATAATTTATAAAACATAAAAATTAATTTTGTATAAATATAAATATAGAAAATTATGAAAATATAATAACAATTGTATAATAAAAAAATGTACTAAATAATACACACACACATGATTTTTATTATATTTGAAAAATACTACACTATATAAATAATGTAAAAAACAATGTACATGAACAAAATAGTATAATAAAAATGTTTAATAAAACTATATATGAATATTAATAATAATACATATAAATCATACAATTTATTACAGACAAATAATTCCCCAGACTTTTTATATTCATGAGTATGTGACCATATGCTCACCATTGTCTAGCTCAGTGATGTAACACTCCTCCACTGCTCCAGATGGTGTGTGAACCTTAGCATCAATCGCCCCTCTCGCTCCGTTCAGCTGCACGGCAAACGAGGCTTCTTGATTCACCTTCAGACCCATCTCCTGCACAGACAGACACAGCCACACAGACTTAGAGAATCTGAACAGTTTTGGAATATCATCTAATCTTCAGAAGTTTAAAACTGAATATGTAAAGATGTGCCTTTCTCATTAAGCATATTCACAATGGCCAACATAAAAATGCTCTGCTACTTCGTCATGCTCATTTGTCTTTCTTGAGAAACTCCTTCTTCACTCTTCGTGAAGGGAACTGCAAGTACACTTGTCTCGTCTCATGATAAGCTGTCCCGTGCTCTCCATCAACTGCTCTCACAGAGAGTGTGTCCCGCTGCTACAGAGAAGAACGATCCCTCTCCACACGACTCGTGCGTGAGTGTGTTTGATCTGGAATCACTCACCTGCAGGCTGGTGACGGTAAGCAGGCGGGCGTCATCTGACACTGATGCAATAGGAACTGTGAAAGGGCTGTCTGGGATATGCTCGTCGTTAAATTTGATTGACACCTCATAGTCACCTGAAATCAAATAAATGAGGAAAAAAAGACTGAGTGTAACTGAAAATTATTTAAGGGAAGATTTCACTACTAAAGCAAACATTAGGTTGTAGTACCAGGTTCCTGCACTACATAGGCCACCCCACAGGAACCATCCTTTCTGTCCTCAAAGGAAATATCTGCTTTGCTGGGCCCCTCAACAGCTATGGACAAACCGCCAGCGCCGGCCTCACGGGTCCAGATACTGAACTCAGCTAAAAATCACACAAAAATAATGTTTTAATGTTCACAATATCCCAGAAAAAATAAAGAGTACCTGACTTCCTGTCAGTCTTATTTAACTATTTTTTGTATACTATTACAGTATTTATTAGTAGCCTATTTTTAAAATAGTTTTTATATTTTCATTTTAATTTTTTTATTTAGCTTTATTTTTTATTTCAGTTGTAGTTTCTAGTGGTTTAATTTCAGTAGTTCATCCTATTTTTATTACAGTTAGCAGCCAAGCATGGTTATAACACATAACTAAAATTAAAACCATAAAAAACACTTTTTTTGTTAAATAAATTAAGTTCAATTTGTTTTCATTTTCTTGAAATAAAATACAAGTTAACTGAAATAAACTACAATTTAAACTTATTTTATTTCAGTTAGTTGGCAAGGCAAAATTTCACATTTTCATTTAGTTTAACATTTATTATTGAAATACCCAAAACTGAAATAAAAATGCTTAAAAAATAGTAAAAATGCCAAAAAAAACACAACAAAATGACTAAAGCTTTAACTGAAGTTGAAATTAAAATATAAAATGTAAAAATAAAAACTATTTCAAAATATTAAAACCTATAATAGTATATTGATACTACAATAACAATATTGCCAATTTTTTAAAATTTAAAAAAAAAAATTTTTCCATCAACTATTTTAGTAAACAACAACACAGCTTCTTGTCTCTTACCTGGAACTCCAGCCACACCTCTGTCCAGTCCAGTACCACCAGCCCGAACCTTATGGGCCCCTCCCTCTCCCAGGGGCCCCACAGTGAACTGGAAGGGGCTTCCGGGGACATGCTGTCCCCTGTATTTGACATTGACAGTGTGGGGGCCCATCTCCTGAGGCACAAAACGCACACTATAGGTGCTGTCCTCTCCCTCTATGATCTCAGCGTCCTCTGTGTTGCCACTGGGACTCGTCACCTGTGCGGTCATTTCCTGCATACCTGATTCCCCTGAGAGAGAGGATGAGAAAGAGGGAAGGGAAAAGAGGAAGGGCACACGAATGAGACATTTCACATAAAATTTCAGGCATTTCTTCTATAAAAGAGGATGTTTTGGCTGGGCTGCCCACAGAGTTGAATGCTGCTCAGATTTTCCAGCTCAGCTCTCCTGTCATAAATGTCTGCAGTGGAAAGTGTGCGCTCATTCCCGCCGAAAACCCCATAAACACACACATACCATGACATCACACGCACATTCACAGTAACACGAAAAGAAACTTGTAATAGCTGCAAAACTTAAAGGTGCAGTAGGAGATCTTGGAAAATGCTAACTTTAGCCTGATAGCACTGAAAGCGAACGTCCCACCCTCCCTGCAATCGCCGCCCAAAGCCACGCCCCCTGTCTGCACAGCGTGCATGAACACGCTGATGACGTATCCTGTCTGCGCAAGCCGGGTGCGCAGAGGTATGCTAATACATACGTTGACAGGCAGGTAGGAAAGCCAATTAAAACGCTCGGACAGAGCGTTTTGATTGGACGAACATTTCTTGGTGCTACGCCTTCCACAGAATATATAAATACAGATAAAAACATTTAGACCACTTAACTTAATGATTGCTATCGGGATGTGAAGAGACTTTCAACCAGCATAACAAAAAATGTTTCTGAAGACAATCACCTATTGCACCTTTAAAGGGATAGTTCACTCAAAAAATGAAAATTCTGGTATCAATAACTCATTTCAAATCAAAATTTTGGGCGAGATAATAGTAAAAAAACTATTTAGGACCTAAATTATCTGTTTAAAGGGTTAGTTCACCCAAAAATGAAAATTAGCCCATGTTTTACTCACCCTCGAGGCATCCTAAGGTGTATATGACTTTCTTCCTTCAGACAAATCCAATCAGAGTTATATAAAAAATTGTCCTTGCTCTTCCAAGCGTTATAATGGCACTGGGCGGGTGTTTTTTTTTTTTAACAGTCTAAAAGTTGTCAAATAAAGCGCATCCATCCATAATAAAACATGCCTCACATGGCTCCGGGGGGTGAATAAAGGCCTCCTGTAGCGAATCCATGCATTTTTGTAAGAAAAACATCCATATTTAAAACGTTATAAACACTTTTCTCACATTTCCGCTAATTGTCGTACGTGGAAGCCGTATTAAAACAAAACGTTGGTCATGAATTAGATGTACAAAGGGAAGATTTGTAAAGAAAAATGTCAGAGGATTTTGATATAAGCCAAGAAGAGACTGGTTTTCCTTTGCTAAAGTAAGGAAACTTTGCTTCCTCCAATTGAATTTGTGTGAAAGAAGAAAGTCATATACACCTAAGAAGCCTTGAAAGTAAGTAAAACATGGGCTAATTTTCATTTTTGGGTGAACCAACCCTTTAACCAGTGATCAACACACACAAACACACACCCTCTGATTGTCGGCCCTGGGCGCTGCTGAAGGGTCCCCGGCTCTCCCTGCCCCGGAATCCACCGAAAACATCCCTAAAGGGGTTGCCCCCCACCTGGGTGCTCTCTTCCACCCGCACTTCCCGTTTGGTCTCGCCCGCGCGGGTCTTGCTGATCTCGGTGCGTTCGGTTCGTGTGTAGGTGTGGCTGCTGCAGGTGAAGGTACGCGTGAACCGCTCTTGGGCCGACACCATCTGAAACCAGTTCCCTACAGATGTGGAACCCGAAAGACAGAGGAAGAAGGAAAGAGAAGAAGGAAGAAGAAAAGAAGTGATGAAAAAGGAGAAACAGGAAATGCATGCTTCTGAGCAGAATGGAAACAAATTCTGTATTCTTTTTTTAAATCAAAATAACTTAAATTGTATAGTCTCATACAGAACCACTCTGATTGAGGAGACAGGAAGTGACACGTGTGACAGTGGGAAACAGGTGGAAAAAGAGACAAGCTCTATGTCTGAATATGCCTATAGTAATAGTAGGCGAAAAATAGTATGAGATGAGTAGTAGGGCTGCACGATAAATCGCATGCAATATTTAACGCGCATCTTGTCAGTAAAGCCATTCTGTAATCAGCGGTAAATCTCCATCACGTGTGGGCTTTCACATGGAGCAGCATTAACTGCACAAAGCCGTTGTTCACCGACAAGCTGCGCAAAATCACGATCATATTTTGCGCATGTTTTGCGCAGCTTGTCGGTGAACAACGGCTTTGTGCAGTTAATGCTGCTCCATGTGAAAGCCCACACGTGATGGAGATTTACCGCTGATTACAGAATGGCTTTACTGACAAGATGCGTGTTAAATATCGCATGCAATTTATCGTGCAGCCCTAATGAGTAGTATGTCAACAATAGGCGAAAAGTACCCTACTTCTGGCGAGATTCTGAAGTGCACATAAAAATTATCCCATGAGGCCACGGGAGAGTAGTTGTGAATGCCAGTGAAGTGACGCAACTGATGCTGGTAGGTCATTTGACAGTGACAACATGGTGAATGTAATACAAATTAACTTAATTTCTGCTACTCATATTTATATTGCATCGAACATACTTTTTTAACGCTCGTTAAGTAAGTTTCAAACCAAATGCAGTATCGACTAGACAGCATGTGATTTTGTAAAGGCTTGACCTCATTCATTCTCTCCTCACCTGGAATCTTGAGGTTGAGGTCGCAAGTGCTGCCCACCGTGGCAATAGAGGGCGCCTGCCTCTTTCTGGTGATGCTCTCCTTCATTCTTCCCTCGCCCAGAACCTTCACTGTAAATGGACTTCCTGTGGAACAACATGAAGTGTTTAAAAGAGTCACCCACCTCAGAAGGAAAGCATGTTAAAGAGACTTCAGTTTGAGGGTTATGCTGTACCTGGCACATGTTGGTCGGCAAATTTGATGTTGATGATGTAAGTTCCGGGTTCGGTTGGGCAGTAGGTCACTTTGCAGGTTCCATCTTCCACATCCGAACAGTTAATGTCAACTTTGCTGGGCCCCTCGATGGACAGACCGAGACCTCCATAACCTATAACATATTGACCAGAACCAATGGCTTTTATGATTAAATACAGTTTGCAAAAGAAGCACGACTGTTTAGTGAATCCAACCTTCATAAATCCCAGTTTATACACACATGCTAGTTTATGCATTCAGTGCGCATGACATAAATTTTACACATCCAGTCAGATAACGCTAAACGTTTGTGTCAAAAGTGAAGTGTACTTCAGGCTTAAAGTGCAGTAATATTTACTGTTGCTCTGTGAAATTTCCATTCATTTCAATAGGAAACTGTGTGATTGAGAGTTTTGCACAAGGGCAATTGAAGGGCAATAGGCATACTGACCAACAGAAAGTTGCTTGGTAAAATGTCGAAATTTTGCCTCCAAAAAAAAAAAAAGTGTTTATTTTCCATCGTAGTGTAGTATGTCTGTACCTTAAGTGCATTATGGAAGCCACAAATATTCTAGAATGCCATTTACCTGCACTTATGGTGTCCACAATGAACTCAGCCACTTCAAAGGTGTGTCCTTCAATCAGTCCTTTCCCAAACACCTTCACCTTACTGGCATCTCCGATCTCAGACTGGCCCACCATGATCTTGAATGGGCTGTTGGTCACGTGTTTTCCATTCTTCTTCACGCTGACCACATGCTCACCCACCTCTTTAGGAGTGAAGGATATTCCTGAAGGCAAAGAGCAATGGGAATGAGTTCTTTGTTCAGGTTTATCGAGTATTTTATGGTAGCACTGTCATATCCAACTAAAAAGATAGGCCTCAGGGTTTGGCTTTACATCAAAAGCCTTTTCTGAGCTGATAGTTGATTCTCTTTGAAATCGCAGGAAGGAGCTCTTAGTCTCAAATCGGGTTTTTTGAGGCAAACACTACAGGCGTCACCTCATCAGAAAGTTTCAGAGTTTGATTGCTGACATCTTGTTATGAAAAACCTCATAGGTTTATCTAGTTTCTAAAAGTGTTATCATTACATTTGCAGTCTCACAATCTTCTGGGAAAATGTACCTAAATATTGGTGACTCCTCTTGTTTGCAGGGGTGTACACAAACTTCAATAAGTCCTACCTGAACTTCCTGTTGGATTTTCAAAATTTGGGGTCTTTAAAATCCCTTAGTAACTGAATCTATTCACAAATAATATGATCTGGCTTATTAATATTCTGCTTTATCAGTTCAGTCGTGACGCATGTAGGTGCTGGCAGGCTTGACGTGTGACTTACCGATGTGTCGGTTTGGCAGTCTCTTCAGCAGGCAGGGCTCCTCGTTGCCAGATGGGGCTCTGATGCTCGCGGTCAGGGAGCTCAGGTCCGTCTCTGTGATCTTCAGTGACACGTCTGTGGCTGTGCCAACGTTCAGCTGAGACGTCCTCATGGAGTCATCACCTTCATCAAGAATGAGACAGAAAATAATTAAAAATAACAATTTATGTTATGTTATGTTATGTTATGTTAAGCTGAATTTTCAGCATCATTACTCTAGTCTTCAGTGTGACATGATTCTACAGAAATCATTCTAATATGCTGATTTATAATCAATGTTAGAATCAGATGTGCTGCTTAATCTTTTTTGAGACCTGTGATACTTTTTTCAGGATTCTTTGTTAAATAAAATTTGAAAAAGTACAGTGTTTATTCGAAATAGAAATTTTGTATTATATAATATAAACTACTATTCAAAATATTTTTTCCTTTTTTTTAAAGAAATTAATACTTTTATTCAGCAAGGATGTTAAATTGATTTTTAAAAAAGTGATAGTAAAGACTTATATTGTTAGAAAAGATTTCTATTTTGAATAAATGCTGTTCTTTTTAACTTTTTATTCATCAAAGAATCAAAGAAAAAAATGATCACAGGTTCCAAAAAAATAATAAGCTGCACAACAGTTTCAACACTGATAATAAATCAGCATATTAGAATTTCTGAAGGATCATGTGACACTAAAGACTGTAGTAATGGCTGATGAAAATTCAGCACTGCGTCACAGAAATAAATTATATTTTAAAGTATATTAAACTAGGAAACCAATATTAGAAATTGCAATAATATTTCACAATATTACTGTTATTTTTGATTAATTACATTTTTGACCCCAAACTTTTTAAAGGCAGTGTACATAAAACACATATGATCCAGTTATTAAAAATAAATCACATATAATCCAGTTAATAAAAATAAACATTTACTGTGCGGGTGCAACCCCAGTTCCGTTGTGGAGAGCAGTGTTGAGGGGCAAAGTGAGAGTGAGACTGAAGGAGGGGGGAAACAGCTGCTTCCTGTTTCTAAAAACTCCCAGGAAGTGGCTCCTACTTTTAGAAGCACTTCACATGTGGTTAAATTCTCCAGGTGTGAAGGCACGCGCACACACATAAACACACACGGCAGCTAATTTAGTGCTTCACAGACGTTATGGAGAGACATAACTTTGCCCTCTCTTGTTCATCCTCTCTCTCTCTCTCTCTCTCTCTCATACCCATATTTGGGCACATAAAACCCCCTACCTGTGATCTTGGCGGTAAAGGGGCTTCCAGCGATGTGCTTGTCATCAAACTTGACGATTATATTATAGTCTCCTGGGGCCATTGGCAGGTAGGACACAGTGCAGGTGCCATCTTTATTATCCTTACAGCTGATCTCTGCTTTAGAAGGGCCTTCCACTGCCAAAGACAGACCACCTGAGAGAAGATGAGAGAGCAATGTGGGAAGTCAGAGGTCTGGCAATGTGAGACTAATGCAATGTGACTGTGAGGCTGCCAGGCTTGGCATGTGTGTATTACCTTCTCCAGCGTCCTTAGTGACGATTGTGAAGGTGGCGGGTTTGTTGACCATGCCGTGACTCAGACCAGGGCCGTATGCATTCACATGCCCGCTGTTAATGGCATCCACATAGAACTGCAGCGGACTTCCTGTAATCGGGATATTGAAAGAGTGTGACTTCATGTTTAAAGATGAACACAGAAATTATTTAACAGACCAATTATAGCATAATTATTACATTTACAGATTTTAGAGCAGCAAACCTCTAATTGTTTTGATACCTGGTATGTGGTTCCCGTCATATTTGATGTCCATCTCATGTAGGCCCTTCTCAGTGGGGGCGTATTTGACCGTCACAGTCCCGTCCTTGTTATCAGTGATGTGGGGACAGGCGGTTTTACCAGAGGGCATATGTACCTCACCTTAAAAAAAAAAAAATGCCGTCTTTGCAAATACTGAATTCCACAGGCCTTTGTGAAAAGATGCATGCTTCCTTGCACCTCTGATAATTATTATTTTTAAAATATTTTTAATAAGTGTTAATACCTGTAATCTCCCCCTTTTGCACAGTAAATGGAATGACCAGATTGAACGGGCGGAGCATTGGCTCCATGGCATCCACTGCAGTGACTGGTTCCTCCGTGGCCTTAAAGAGAAAGCGATTTTAGCATCACTGCACTGCTAACTAAATACAGTGAGAAGATCTAAGTGCGTGCAAAGGGTTAATGGCTGGAAAACGAAAAACAGACAATGGCACAGGCTGGTTGGGCAGCAGCAGATGAAATAAATTCATAAAAGCAGCAGCTACAAAGAACCTTGTGCAAAACAACGGCTCTGCAATAGGAGATCAACAACCTATTCATTAACTCTACGAATGCATGATCAGCCAACTAGCTGTTTAATAACTTGTTAAAAAGACATCAGCAGTACAGCTCATGGGAAATTAAGCAAAGATGGATTAAATGAAAAGGTGTAATGATAAAGGCTGAGGAGCAGAGAGCGTTTAGGACGTTATCTGATGACTAGGGGTGGTGTGTACCCAGTGAGGGGTGTAGCCCTGATAGGGGGCGTAGGGCTGCTGTAACTGTAGTTTATCACATGGTTCCTCGATTATAGGGATGGTATGAGATGCCTGGAGGAGGAGGTGGTCACATGTTTAGGGCTTCACACGACACACATTTACATGCAGCTAATTCAATTCGACCCACTGAACTGGAATTGAATTGCTAAATTAAACATAATCTCAATGAATGAGGCACAAAAATATTTTTATTTGGGAGAATAATTATTTTGTAAAAACACACCATGCACTGGTAGCCATATTTTGAATTTGTTAATGATCATTTGCATAAAACAAATACAAATATAACATATACACTACTGTTCAGAAGTCTGGGGTCAGTACATTTTTTAAAGACATTTATATTTTGGATGCATCAAATTGATCAATAGTAACAATAAAGACTTTTACATTGTTACAAAAATGTTTTATGTAAAATAAATGCTGTAATTTTGAATGTTTATTCATGAGGAGTCCTGGAAGAAAATCTTGTTTTCTACAGAAAACATTAGACAGTACAACTGTTTTCAACATTGATAATAATAAGAAATATTTCTTGAGAATCAAATCAGCATATTAGAATGATTTCTGAAGGATCATGTGACACTGAAGATGCTGAAAATTCAGCTTTGCATCACAGGAATAAATTATATTTTAAAATATATTAAAAATAGAAAACAGATATTTTAAATTGTAATAATATTTCACAATATTACTGTTTTACTGTATATTTTTATTTAAATAAATGCAGACTTGGTGAGCATAAGAGGCTTCTTTCAAAAAGAAGGTGCTCACCACCACATGGAAGGGGCTGTTAGGAATGTGCTCTCCTCCAAAGCGAATGGTTATGACGTATTTCCCAGGCTCTGGAGCAGTATAATAGATATCAAATGTCCCGTCCGCGTTCTCCACCACATCCACGTCTAGCTCCGCCCCGTCTGGAGTTGACACTTTGCAGGTGACCTTCCCCTTCCCAGCAGACTTTGCATCCACAGTGATAACGGTCTCCTCGCCGATTTGAATAGTGGGTCCGAGCCCAGAGCCTGTCCATGACACAGCAATCACAATAAAGCTATTTTACTACACCATTCAGAGAGTTATAGTGTGAATTCATGTACACTGGGTCACTTTTTGACATTCACCATAATGACAAAAAAAGGCCTAAACTGATCCTACATAAAAAGACTTGCAAAGTTCAATATAGGTAACTGATGATGTTTTCAAAAAACTCACCCAATCCGTGTCCCCCAATTGACACTACAAATCAACAAAAAGAGCTGTTACAATTCATGATCATGAAGGTGTGCATAAGATGCTGTTTCAAAAAAGAAACTAGACTGCTAAGATAACATTTTAATAAAGCAATATGTCACATACAACTGACCTGTCACAAGGCATTTGCTGGCATCTCCACAAGGCAGCGCATGTATGCGGTAGGGTGAGTATGGGATCTCATCTCCACCATATTTTATTGTAATAGTGTAGCGTCCTGTCATATCTGGGACGTAGGACACGGTGTATGTTCCATCTTTGTTATCTCGAATGTTGGCTTTCTTTGGTTTTCCTTCTGGGTCCTGCAAAATGAATGAGTTGTTAAACTGTGTTCATGGGAATGAGTGTGTATGTGTGTCTATATATTCGTAGGCTCTTTTGAGCCTGCATATAAAAATCTTATTTCTTATTTGAATAAGTTCTAACTGAACTTGCTGAAATAAATATAGATGATATTGAACAAGGCACTATTCCTCATACAGATTGCATACAGTAGCAGGCATGTCTGACTGTTAGTCATGTAGTGGAAAACCACATGTAGGGTTTTAGCCTAAATCTAATGATAGGTCAGTGCACAGAGACCACTAGAAGGCAACATTAAGGGTATCAAGTCCCCTTGACCGGTACAAAATGATCAAGTATGGCTGCTTGGGAGAAAGGTTCACTCTTACATTCAAAAACGGCACTTTTGTGCAAGACAAAGATGTTTCTGGATGCTTTTGCATGTGTGCAGTTTGGTTTTGGTTTGAGTGAAGTTTTCTCTCTTCCTTTTCAGAATGGAAAGTAGTATGATTATAAAAAAACAAAGATCACTCTCAAGAAACTACAATTCCCAAGTCACTTCAGTGTCAAAGGAATATGGTGTATATGAAACAAGAGGACATATAGACAGACAGACAGACAGACAGACAGATAGATAGATAGATAGATAGATAGATAGAAAGAACACAAAAAGGCATTATTAGGGAATGAATTCAGAACTAGGGAATAACTAAGGCAAAACTAGGAAACAATTAAGACGAAAAGCAGCCAAAGGAGCAGGGGAACTGGGGCAGGGAGTACAGTAGCAAGGGGACGATCCATGAGCACTTAGGGGCCCAAGGCTAATGGGAGGGATGCCAGACATGGTGAGTTGTAACAACAAGAGGAGGCCGAAAGGAGGGGCCGCCTTACACATCCTTTCCTAAGAATATGGAAGGGGATGGTGCCCTTTACAATGTGGTTCTCCCACACCCTCCTACCCCAGTCCTCCACAAACACAGAGGCCTCCTGCCTGCACCCATCCGGACCCTACAGCGACAGCAGGGAAGGGGTCAGAGGTCAGGGCAGAGGGAAGCGGAGGGGGGACAGTGGCCATTAAAGCACATGTGATCATCAAGGGAAACCTCTGTCTTAAAACATGTCAAAAAAGAGGCCTGAGCGAGTGCTGTCGTCACTCACCAGTATCTGTACAGTGAGAAGACCCTCGCCTGCGTCACGGGCATCGATGGTGAACTCCACCGGCAGGCTGGCGGGAACGCCAGAAGCGTTCAGTCCGGGACCGCTGGCACGAACTTTACTGGCATCATGTGCAGGCAACACCTTGATCTTAAATGGACTGAAAAGGGGGAAACAGAGTCACGTACATCTCATTTCTAAAATCAGCTTTGAAGATTTGGTCATAGTCTATTCGCTTCATTAATATTAAGACTTTATTAATACTTTAAGCAGCCCGCTCACCTGCGTGGCACTTCTTGGTCTGCATATTTGACACACACAGTGTAAGGTCCATCTTTAGCAGGAGTGTAGATCACCGTGTGTGTGCCATCACCGTTGTCTGTGATATTCACTGGCTCTGTCAACCCTAGAATAACAACACAGTTGATCTCTCTGCATGCCTGTCATCTAGTCTAGACAACTGTAAAACACTGTTGATGAATGTGTCTGCAGGCTTCATATGGACATTACTGAATGCAAATCCAGGACTTTCTCCAGCACCAGTTTGTCATTTTCAAGGTCATCACAGCCTTATGCATAAACGTGGAACTAAAGCTATGGTCCTCATGTCCTTTCACTTATAGTCATTTATAGCCTAATTTGCATTTTTGATGTACACTACTGTTAAAAAATGTGGGTTCATATTTTTTTTCAGGATTCTTTTTTAAAAGAAATTTCAAAAGAACAGCATTTGAATTTGAAGCCTTTCATTACTTTATACATGTTTTTACTGGCACTTATGATCAATTTAATCCATTGCTGCTGAATAAAAAGCATTAATTTTCTTTAAAAAAATCTTACTTTTTGAAAAGTAGTATACAATACTAAAAGTTTATTGGACGAAATACATGCCCCTCATTGGTAAAATGTATTATTTACTAAATCCAAAAACCAGCAAAGTTGCATTAAAAACATGTAGTTTAAAACTGATAGAATGCCTTGAAAATGGCAACATTAAATCCTGAGAGGGGAACACTGCTAAATTACTTATGATTTATAGATATTAAGTATCAATATGCATATAAACCACTTCCTCATGTTCGCTAAACACATACATACATCTTAAGTCAGTCTTCCTTGTATTCTAGTGTTTACATTTCTAAAAGCTAAATTGCATTTATACACGTCAAGAACTTTGTCCAAACTCTCTGTGCAATCCATTTTTACCTGTGGGTTCATACAGAAGCACCTCTAGTGGGGCGAGTCCAGCTTTGCTGCAGTCCACGGTGAAGGTTTGAGGGACGTGGGCTCTTACTCCACTTCCCAAACCAGGACCAGAACACTTCACCTTACTTGGATCCACCAGCTCCCCCACAGGTACCCTGAATGGGCTACCTAAAAACCCACAGAAATTGTACAGTTACCGTTTTCCTTCATAAAATGCTAAAACAGACCCTGAGGTATGAAATATTCAAGCACTAAATCAAACTGTCATGATTATTTGCATCCAAACGTCTTAACACTCTCATATACTCAAACTGCTGAAATTCAATGTCAATGCATAATTAGCGTGTTGAGTTCACTTAGAAACAAACCACGGAATGAGTTAGACAGAAGGAAATTACATCATACCTGGGATAGGCAGACCTCCGAAAGTGATGTTGACGTCATATTCTCCAGGAGTGAAAGGAATATACTCCACGCTACAGCTGCCATCTTTGTTATCTTTACAAGACATCTTAGCTTCTGATGGACCCTCAATGGCCAATCCGAGACCACCCGTGCCAGCACCCCTGAAAGAGGAAAATACAGACATGGGAGAAAACATAAGTTACAGTAAAATCTAAAAATAGTTATGCAATTACAGTATATTCAGCCCTGTTCACATTCAGTCCAAAGCATGCAAACACCAAAGTTTAAACTAGTAAACCAGATTTGTTTTACAACAGAACTATTCATATAGGGTTTACTGCTTAATTTTCGTCACTCCCAGTGAATGGCATTGAATGGTTGGTGAGGTTTTTTTTTCATGCAAGCTATTTAAAAAGCATCTGTGATTACATAAAACAATGGCTCATAGATAGTACTTCAGACTTATTGTGTTTGACTCGATGTTTCCAAATGAGCCCATTCCAGAACATGTTCATATTCAACAGCAGGTTTTCGTAGAAATATGTACCTGGTCTCCACAGTGAAGCGGTTGGGTTTGTTGACCAGACCCTCTTCCAGACCAGGACCGTAGGCACGTACACGGCTGGGATCACAACCTTCGGTTACCGCCACCCTAAACGGGCTCTTGGGGACAGGTACGTCATCATACAGCACCTCTATCAGATGCACACCTGCACAAAGACAAAAATAACAGCACTCTTTCACCTATAAATATGATGCTGGAAAGTACTTTCTCATTCTGGCAAGCTCCAATCTGATTGGCTGACTTTAATGGTGCCTCAGTGCTTCTTATCCTGTCTGAGAACTGCCTTCTTTGATGGGAAGAGACTTTGTGGCAATACGGAGAGGGATTGTTTTTTTTTTCCTCTCTCAATCGATAGTTGTGATCTAATATTATCAAGGCATCATGGGAAAACAGACATCAGCAGTCTCTGCTCAAAACACAATGAACAATGAATGAATTTCCATCTCGCAACACTGACCTCCACACAGAACAATCAATACAGCAGCCGTGCTCGGAATAAAAGACAGCTCTGAGTATATGTGTATGTCCCATGATTCTCAGGGAGGAAAGGGAGGTTCAGTTCAGAAGAAATGCCAACATGGCCTGTTAAATTAATGAAGACTAGGGGTGGAAACACAGGCCGGCTTCAGTCAGGATGAAGCAAGAAAATGACAGACTTTACGCAAACTATATAATCTTTAGTTATTGTATGTCAACCCAATGTGCGTGGATAACATTTTTCTGACAGAGAGAAAGAGAGAATTATGGCCTAGTCTGGTTTTACTGCCTACAGGCCCATGGATTGAGGATTTTCCCTTTTTACAGTTTCTAGTACTATTAATCATTTGTTCTTTCTGACTCATGGACAATAAATGTGCTACAAAGCATTAATCTCCAAAGAAATGAACACCAAAAGAGTAAAGAATATGCAAAAGAAAAATAAATAAATTAGATAAAATTATGCCTATTTTTAAGGAAGACCGGGATTTTTTGAAGGTTTTTATTGTAATATGGTCATTTTTGTTTAATTTAAAATGTCATTTAATTTAATCGCTAATAATGTTCTTAAAATTTGTGTACGAGTCATCTAAATGAAAATTCAGTTCAGCAAAAATAAATATATATATTTTTCCCCTATGTACTGGATATCTTACCATCCTCATATGCTGTATACTCCACTCTATAAGTGCCATCTCCTTTGTCAGTGATGTACGCATCAGTGTTGGCACCCGATGGATTAACAATACGAACTTTGATGTGGTTTCCACCCATCTTGCTGTGAACCCGAGTGTCAACGACAAAGTGTGTAGTGACCTCTCGGAGCACCCCTGTCAAAATACACCAAGTTTTGAAGCACATTGCTAAACACAATGGTACTAAACACAAGGGCATTTAGATGGGCCATCTTACTGTACCTCTGGGTTCCACTCCTGGACCGTAGACCTTGATTCCACTTGTATCGAGAGCAGGATCTATCTGCACCCTTGCAGGGAACTTCGGCACTGCATGTCCTCCATATTTAATCGTGATGGTGTACATTCCGTGGAAAGGAGGGATGTAGGTGATAGAATATGTTCCATCGCTGTTATTCTGGACACGAACCTCAGCCTGCGCTCCTGAATCTGAAATAATCTCGATGGTCAACTCCGCCTCGCCTGCTTTAGAGCAGTCCACCGTGAACGATGCCGCTTCGTTGACCTTTCCTCTCTCCAGCCCTGGTCCACTAGCTGTGACCTTGCTGGGGTCAAAGACAGACTGCACCATGGCTTTGAAGGGAGAACCAGTGATGTGAGCATCAGCAAACAGGATGTTGATGGAATACTCTCCAGGCTCAGTGGGCAGATAGGATACTGAGCAAGATCCGTCTCCATTGTCCTGGCACTCAATCTTGGCTTCACACGGACCCTCCACAGTCAGCCCAAGACCCCCTGTACCTGCACCTTTGGTGTCGATGGCAAATGGAGCGGGTTTACCCACAATACCTCCCTTTAGGCCAGGGCCGTAGGCTCGTACCTTGAAGTAAAAGTAAGACAAAACTGTTGTCAAGATTGAGTTTCAATAACAAATTAAAACAGAATTCTAAAAAAGTCATTCAACCTGAAAAAGAACCAGAAGATATTATACTTTAATATAATTAAATTATGCATGTGGTATATGTGGTAAGCAGAATAATAGATTCCAGAACTCTGAAATATAAAAAAATAATGCACATATAAGGTGAAATGGCCACTCTGGGTGTGCATTGAATTTTCAATAATTCAACAGTCCAACATGCTTTAAGAGTACTAGAGGACAGTCCAATATTTTTCAAAGCCGACCAGCCTTCATCATCTGTATCCATTTATGGTCAGAGATCTGTATCTGTTTCAGTATTGTACAGACCAACCCATCTAATGATTCTCAGTGAGACCTCGGCCCAGTGACAGAGAATGGGGCAGCCATTCCACATGTGGATGAAGTACCTTGTTTGGCACACTACACTCGAGTTCACCTTTCCCTGACAGATTAATTAAACACAACTGTCCTGTAATAATTTTCCACAATGGCTAAATTGCCTTTTGTGTTTGTTTTAGGCTTCTTCACTGATATACAAACTAGAGAATCTGGCTCAAGGAGAAGAAAAACCTTCACTGGAACAATCCAGCCCTATAGAGAACAGGCAACAAACAAAAACACAATTAAATTAAATGGGTTGACTTTGGAACCAGCATTCCTGGAGTAAACCTCTACAAACAGAAAATTTCCTTGCACTGAGGATCAAGAAATATTGTTTTAAAAAATCTGGTTGTAGTTTAGTTTGAACATTCTGACTCCAGTTAGTGGTTCATAAACTCTCTGAAGGTCTTTCTGATTTGTGAGGAAAGGATTGCACGGTACAGTCCAATTTCTCTGGTTACTCCTAAAATGCATTCCATGTTTCTCCTCATATGGAGAGTATTATCATCCTAGCCAGCTCTTAGTATGTATGTAGCCAAAAGCTTGAGAAAGCATCCATGAATGACTTGAAATGTCAAGTCCGTATCTCTAATGAGATCATTTGGGTAACAAATGTTTTCCAATCAAAAGGATTTGCAGAAATCATGAAAACTCAGTTGAATAAGACAATGACGGGTAAACAAATGAATCGCATTCTCCTATTTGTGACTCCTACCTTTGAGGGATCTGGAGGCATCACTCCCTCCACCGTGAAAGGACTTCCAGGCACGGGGTTTCCATCATAGCTGATGTCCACTTTGTAGGGCCCCTCTTCCGGGGGAATGTATTTAACAGTGTGCACCTCATTGGATGCTCCAGATTCAACCTTGCACGGGATTGGCCGGTGAGAAGGTGAGGTAATCTTGACGTCCACCTTTCCTTGACCTCCCGCACCACGTGTGTTAATGGTAAACTCCTCATCTTTCCCTACATCGACTTCTAAAGAGATAAGCACACAAAATATATACAATAAATACAATCAACATAGCTAGAATTTCATTTCACACTTAAACTGCTGTGGACTTACTGTTGTTGAGTCCTTGAACTTTGACCTTGTTGAGATCCAAAGGAGGAGCAACAGTGATGGTAAAAGGGCTTTTGGGGATGGGGTCACCACCATGGCACACAGATATGCTCATGTTACCCTGGATCACAAAACAAACAGGATAGAGCAAGATAGAATTTATAATATTGTAATATTATAATATATAATATGACCACTTGGTGTCCATTTATATAAAAAACAAGTGGGCTCCCCCAAAGTCCACGGTATAGTTCGAACACTGTGAACAGCAACCCAGTGTTGGAGTGCCTCACCTGCTGTAACGCAGTGTAACGCACAGTGAAAGAATAGTCGTGGTTATCGATGATCTCAAAGTCACTGACGGCTTCTCCTTTCCCAGCTGTGGTGAAGTGAACCTCAGGTGTGGCCTTGCCTGCTCCTTTAGTGTAGATCGTGAAGTGGGTCGGCTTGCCCACTTCCACACCTGTGACAAAGACACATTAAATGAAGATGAGATGGCTATCTTTACCTACTATTTTTCTAATTTCAGTCACTGACAATCAAACTGACCTGTCTTGTTGAGTCCAGGACCCTCTGCCTTCACTTTATTGGCATCATGGGATGGATCAACTTTAATACGGAAGGGGCTGATTGGAATTTCCTGTTAATTCATTACAAAATGCATTTATAGATCTCAAATTGCATAGAGAAGAATTTGGTATTATTGACTGAGACTCACTTGATCAGCAAATAGCACCATGATGGTGTAGCGTCCTGCTCCAGGGGGCGTATACTTCACTGTGAATGTGTCGTTGTCATTTTTAATGATGTCAAAATCAATATCTGCTTCGGCAGGTCCCACCACGCTAGGAGCACACTTAATCCCAATGCTGACATCTCCTAAGGAGAACAGAACAGATGGGAGAAAAGGAAAATAATTTATGATCAGATCTGGTCAAATTTGACCATAATAAGTATTACGGAAGCAATTATGTTGGCTCTGACCTTGTCCGGCCTCACTGCAATCCACAGTAAAGTATGTGGGTTCACTGGCCTTCAAGCCAGTCTTCTCCACTCCTGGTCCATGAACCTTCACGTTCTCTGGGTGACTGCCTTCTCCAATGGTCACCTGAGAAATGTAGAAAGACCAGAGTACTGTAAAACTAGAAATTTAAAGCTTTTGGAGGACAGTGGTTCTTGTAAAGTTATGATCCAATATGGAATCTATGACCATGTAAATGGGAAAGTTTGAAATCTAACACTGGAAAAATTTAGTCATGGTCTTTCACTGAAAGGCTGAACTTGTTGTAGATCCAGTTTATGAAAGTTCTTGACAAACAGCAACATAAAAATGTCATCAGCTGGCTGAAGTCAGCCTGTTGACAGTGAGCTCTCACCCTGAATGGACTGTTGGGAACGTTGACCTCTCCCCAGGTGATGATGATAGTGTGTTTGATGGGCTTGGTGGGTATGTAGATGCAGAAATATGTGCTGTCACTATTATCTGTGATCTGGATGTCGATGGGGAAGCCTTCTGAGTCCTTGAATAAAAGATGGACAAAAACGTTTTTGTACCAATGAAGTGGGGCATGAGGCATCTGGGACTTGAATGAAAATGTACCTGAGCGTAAATCTGTAGATGTCCTCTTCCAGCTCCACGGGCGTCAATTGTAAATTCAGCAGGTTTGTTTACAATGCACCCGGTTGGTTCTAGCCCAGGGCCGTAGCACTTAACCTGCATAAAAGCATGAGTTAGTTTAGTTACGGCTGTCATTTAATATTCCCAACGAATGTGCAATCATTATTGCCAATTGTCAGGGCAGACCTTCTCAGGAAAGACATCATTGGCTGCAGGGAGGATGTGGGCCATAAATGGGCTGTCTTTGATATCTTCATCATCACAGATGACATGGACCGCATAGTCACCAGGCTCAGTGGGCCAGTACAAAACATCACAAGATCCATCTCCCTTATCATCACACTCTATCTTAGCCTGTGAGGGGCCTTCGATGGAGAAACCTGTGCATGGAAAGAGTTTCAACCAAACTTCCCAGGCATCTTATCACACCATAAACCAGGGGTTGATAGCTCTAGCCCTCGAGGTCCACTTTTCTCCAGAACTTAGCTCCAACCTTGACAAACTCACCTGCCTGTACTTTCTAGTAAGCCTGAAGGCCTTGATTAGCTTGTTCAGGTGTGTTTGATTAGAGTTGGAGCTAAACTCTGCAGGAAAGTGGACCTTGAGGGCCAGAGCTGAGAAGATCTGCATAAACACCAGATCTCTGGGTACAGTGGCTCAAAAATGTTAAAGAAGATACTTACCCAAAGTTCCAACCTCAGTGCCAATGGCCTCGACCACAAAGTCAGCTGATTTGCCAACCATGCCCGTCTCCAAGCCTGGACCCCAAGCCCTCACCTTCTGAGGGCCTGCATCTTCACTTATGACCACCTCAAATGGGCTACACACATATACACATTTTGATCAGAAGTGAGACGGATGATGTTCATGATAATCGGCATAATTCCTAGATGATCTTTCTGAAATAACACTTCCATATCCTGTATAATCCTTTTAATATGGTCAACAGATTTGAAGATTTTTGGAAACAGAAATGGGACTACACCACAGTAAACTGGTGGAGGTTTAAAAGCATCCTACCTGCGGGGAATGGCGTGGCCACCCCAAGTAATGGTGATAATGTATTTTCCAGTGAAAATGGGGTAGTAATCACATTCATACACACCGTCTCCCAGCTCTTGCACCTTCACAGGCTCATCGCCACCTCCTGCAAACACAAAATTTAATTCAGCTAACTAAATTTATGATGCAAAATTGATTAAAACAGAAAAAAATCAACAATCGTTGTTGCAGTCAAAACAGTTGCATGCATACTTGGCCCTTTGACTTGAACACGTAGTTCTCCACTGCCTGCTCCCTTCGTGTACACCTTAAAGTCGGCCACCTCCTTCACACGCACACCCTTGGGCTGCAGGCCGCGCCCGATGGCCCGACAGGCATTCGGGTTGCTTGCTAAAAAGAGGAAAGAGTAGTTATTCTTGATCTCACAAGGTAATAAGTACAAAGGCGAAAAAAGATTAATGAAACGTACACACATGAATGGAGATGAAGTTGTCAATGTTAGTTATGCATATGGACCCAGCCAAAGGTACAAGCCATGAAGAACAAGAAAAACAAAGAAAGAATGTTTCCTTTAAAAGCCTATGACAAAGCAATTAGCAATCTCATAAAGACCCTATTAGGAATGTAGCGAGACCACTATAATGAAAACTACAGGCATACTGATCAGTGTTCTCAAGAGCTTATAAAAAGGCTTAAAATAAACACAATATTTGTAGTTCGATACAAGAACCAGCTGTGAAGGATATAAGCCAACTTTTTTTTAATATGTGGCTTACTGTTAAGGTTTGGTGTTTCACACTAAGTTCACTAATGAGCTCTTTTAGAGCAATAAAATGCCTATTAAAACAGTCTGGCTCAGTCCTGAGTGCTTTCTCAGAACTAATCAAACAATTTCTTCTTCCAGTATCTGTTTCTTCAAGTGCTGGATAAAAAGGCAGACTAAAGTCTACAAAATCACGTTAGGTGAAAAAATTGAAAAAGTAGTGTTAATTGAATAATTAATTAGTTAAAGTTACTTAATTGTATACTTCAGTTAGGAAAATCATGTTAAGACAGATAATTAAAGCATTCCCATTCTCTGAGTTAGTATTTATAGAGCGACACGGCCAAATCGAGCAACTGCCGAGATGATGACGACGATCATGATGACAATGATGGTGATCTCTAAGATGAAGATGACTATATTACACACCCAAACGGTCACTCAGATATCGGCTCTCTGATGCTAAATAAGGTTCTAGCATCTTAATTTTTAAGGCTTTAAAAATTGTAGGTGTGAAATAGATGCAATGTCAGTTCAGGTTAAAGTGAATAGTTTAAACAAGGGCTGTTATATTAACACATTAAACACATAAATAAAATAAAATAAAATCTTGATTGATTAACATCTTCAGCCCTAATTTAAACCAAATTGTTACTATTGTTAATTTATTTCATTATTTTCTTTAAATAATTAATTAATTATAGCATTGGGTTAAATTTGTAAAATTCTGAATTATTATTACTAAATTATAAATATTAGCAGAATCCAATCAAAAGTGGTCCTGGTGTGCTGAGCATCTGTTAAGTGATCGTCCAGTCCCACCACTGAATGGTGGCTCTTTTTCTGCATCAGTTAAAACAAGACCAGCAGCAGCATTCGCAACACTTGTCTAACCTTCTTCTTACTTTCATTCACACTCTCACTTTTACTCACACTCACTTTCATCCCATCACTTCCTGTATCTATCTAAGCTTCCTGTTGATTTTAGCTGCCCCAGAGGGCAAAGCGCCAGCGCATGCCAACGAGCCAGAGGTGGCGTGCCCGAGAGAGGACACATCCAGGGTGAGGGGAGGAGAGGAGACAGGAGGGAGGGGACCAAGCTCGAGCAGGCATTTGCCACGCCCCCTGGGTGGCCCGTACTAACTTGGTCGCCTGGGTTTGGGTGGTGTTGGGGGAGGCATTTTCTTGGCCTTTTCTGAGGGCGGCGTGCGTATAGACTGAGGGATTATGTGAACCGGGGAGCCGATCTGCCGGCCGCTCGGAGGAGCTAGAACGACACACACAAGCGAAAGAGGAGAGAGGAAACACAATAAAGCGTTTCGTCATCATCAGGAGGGTGGTGGACCCCTGGAGCAGTGAGCAAACGGAGCTCAAAACCAAACAGCCTGGTCTCAGTCAGTGCCACAGAAAGCAGGTCTCTCTGGGACTTGTCCAGTATCAGCATGCTGTCAATCAATCAACTTTGAACTCATTACAAGGGGGAAATAAGCTCTTTAGGTGCAAAATGCCACAACTGAAAAGACCAGCATACTGAAACTTGTTGTCTTCAACAGCAAGCCAACCAGATTCATCAGAAAAAGCCTAAGCTTTAGTCTAAGCTGGGCTTTTCAGCAGGTGCATAATACATTTTAGAAAGAACGTGGCATGCTTTTAATGCAGCAAAAAAACAACAAGTCGAAGGCTCAGGCAAAAAAAAGCACTTGTTGTTTTCTTGGTGCATTAACAGCTTTGGTAAAGAAGACTCTGCAGGACATCTAACTTATTTTTTCAAGGAATTAACATCACAAAGTGAAGACATGGGTCTCACCCTCTGAGATGTGGACAGTGAAAGGGCTTCTGGGTATCTGCTGGCCAGCGAATGTCACATATATAGTGTGAGGGCCCTCCAAAATGGGGCCGTATGTGCAGCGGAAAACACTGTCGCCCTTGTTTTCCAGAATGATCTCCACTGTGTCTCTGCGGCCCTGAGAGTCCACAATGATCACACCGACATCGCCTGCTCCTGCACCTGAGTCACAAATACATGAGTTACAAATACATATAAATAGTTTCTAGTTTCACAGCAAGCAGCATCATTTCACTGTCATTACCTGCTGTGTAGATGTCAAAATAGGTGGGTTTATTGGCCACATTGCCCACCGGTTCCAAACCTGGCCCACGGGCCTGCACCTTGTTTTATTATTATCTTGAATAAAAGAACATCAAAATCTTGCCAATACCATCAGGAACCTGCATGGTTTACAAATAGTCCTGGCTGAGAGATGCTGGATTGTTTTGAGATGAAAAAAAGTTTGAATTAGAAGATGACCTCTTCTGTGTGGCCCTCTGGATCCTCGATGTACACCAACACCTCTCCAAGCCCGGCCTCCACGGTCTCCACCACAAACTCAGCTGGCCTCAACACGAATAGTTTCTAGTTTCACAGCAAGCAGCATCATTTCACTGTCATTACCTGCTGTGTAGATGTCAAAATAGGTGGGTTTATTGGCCACATTGCCCACCGGTTCCAAACCTGGCCCACGGGCCTGCACCTTGTTCGGGTCTCCCAGTGCTTTAGACACATTTACTAGGAAAGGGCTTCTGTCAATGTCCTGTCCAGCAAACAACACCTTCACCTGAAGGAAGAAAGAAATATCCCTCAGATACAATCACTCCATTTTATCTGTCACAGTTAAAGCTCTATTTTTGTTAAACCTTACAAAGCTGCTGTCTGCCATCAAGACCTAAGAAGACTTAGAACATTCATAAATCCTGAAAATATGACAGCAAAATTACAACAAAAACCACTGCGCATTGCTTATTATTATGAATTAGAAGATGACCTCTTCTGTGTGGCCCTCTGGATCCTCGATGTACACCAACACCTCTCCAAGCCCGGCCTCCACGGTCTCCACCACAAACTCAGCTGGCCTCAACACGACATTACCTCTGGGCTCAATACCTACAGAGAGATGCAAAAATACAGAGGATTAAGTTGAGGAAGAATAGGCTCAATGTTCTCATCTCCTAATCACTGTCTGTCATTCAGAAGTTTTAACATCAGCATCATCTGTCAGTCTCACCTCACCAGTTAGTTGTTTAAACATTTTTTTTATTATTCTTGTGTATCCCTGCAGTCCTATTAATAAGGCTCAAGAACCTTATCCTCATTCAATTAAAAAACTGAATTGTGTTACTATTAAATCATATTAGATAAATTAGCATATAATTTTTTATATATATTATATATTTATATATTTTTATTTTACTTTTTAAATAAAATTTTCCATTTTAAACACTATGATCTTAAAAAATAATGAAATAATCAACACATTTAAATATATCTTAATTTTAACGAATGTGTTTATTTTGTTAATTTAATTTAATTTAATTTAATTTAATTTAATTTAATTTAATTTAATTTATTGTATTTTTATTTTATTTTATGACCATAGGCCTTGGCTCTCTTGGGGTGCAGGGTTTTAGATCGCAGTGGGGCACCAGGCTTGAGTTTGGCTTTGGGAAACTGAGACAGGTAGGTCATCACTGAGTGCTCGTCCACATTAGGATCCACGATCTCCTCAGGAGCAATCACCTGGATGGACAAAGTGCAAAATTAGAGGCCAGAAGTAACTTGCTACATAGTGGTTGATTTCTGATTTAAATCCTGAAAGCTATTCAAGCTATATTTCTCAATCCAGCTCCTGGGGCAACCAGTGTACCATATTTTGGAAGTCTTCCTCATCAAAAACACCTGATACAACTCATTATACATCATACAACCAGTAATAGAGGTAACATTGACCTGCAATAGCTGAATCAGATAGCAAAACACCTCAAATGTGCATTGCTGTAGCCCTCAAGAACAGGACTGAGATGAAGAAGCACATCTCACTGACTTCATTTAACATTTTCTTTGAGTACTGTCACTGCCAGAATCGATCGTCAGATATAAACACAGCTCTATTCTGTCATGGTCTAAGGCACAAAACTGATGAAGTACACAATGTTTTCAAAGCTGTGGAAAATATTTTCTGTCTCTCCTCTCCCCTCAGTCCCGTCTTTCATGTCCTACTGGTTAAGTGTCCTGCTATATTTAACACTAGACTGGAAGGTTAAGAGCTAACTGCAAATAGCTCTAAATGGTATTTAACACAGCCGAAAGACAGAAGTGGAGATTGAACGAGAGACCAACAGGGACAGGAAAATAAATATGCACCTTGTTATTAAAACTCATAATTTAGCATCTCCTGCTGCAATGATAGCCTACTCCAAAGCATTCGATGACCATTGTTTTCTCTTAATAGATGTGGACTCTCTATTTGTCTCAATTACTCAAACACAAATTTGTGTTCTAGTGTCCACTAAGGCTTCCAAATCTGATCTTTAGAACTGACTGTCATAGAACTATACTGTCATTTGATAAGTGATTAAAACAGATTTGTTTGTTCCATTTTCTACTCTATCTGTTGTTGACAGCAGTAAATATCTCATAAGCACAACCTTCAAATGTTTGGGGTCTGTAAGAGACTACATTTATTTGATCAAAAATACATTAAAGGCAGTAATATTGTAAAATATTTTTACTGATTGCTATTTTAATATATTTTGAAATGTAATTTAATTCTGTTAAAATGTTAAAATTGAAATTTCAGCATATGATACTTCAGAAATCATTCTAATATGCTAATATACATTCTAGGCTAATATATAGTATATATTATAAACTCTAATATATTTGGTGCTCAAGAAACATTTTTTTATTATTATCTATGTTGATGTCAACAATTCTGTGTTTTTCTGTCAATATGGGGTGCTGTGTGTACATTAATGAGGAAAAAAAATTAACTTAAATGATTTTAGCAAATGGCTGCAATATAACAAAGAGTGAAAAATTTAAGGGGGTCTGAATACTTTCTGTATCCACTGTATATACTGGATATAGGATTCACAGCATCTATGTGAAATGTATTTTTAAACATTATTAAAGTCTTTACTGTTGCTTTTGATCAATTTAAGGCATCTTTGCTGAATAAAATGATTAATTTCTCATGTATAGACACTACTGTGTATTATGATGTTACGTGCACCTCACATTTGACTTATGAACAAAAATATTTAAATTATTAAAATACATTTCTTATATTTAAAGCATTTAGATGTTAAGCATACGGTTTAGAAATGAGTGATACAATAAATAAAAAAACACAATTAAACCCAACACAAGTTAATATTGATTAAAAAAAAAGTGAGCTTCGAGTCTACATCTGAAGATTAATTAAAACATGATTTTGATTCGATTTCAAACCACCCGGAAATGTAGCACTAACATTTTTTGCTCTTCAGACTACAAAATCTAACCAGTTTAGTGTTAAACATGCCAAAAAATCTAATTTGTACAGTCTGTGTGAACAACGCCCCAGATTCCTTTACACTCTCTGATTCACACACACTCACACAAGGATCATTCAGAATAATGAGGTCATAATATAATTTCAGTAGCTAAAAGCTACTTCTTAAAGTCAATACTGGCCTACAAAACAGCCAGCCTTGCTCTGCTAATGAAGAAAACAGACTCAAATCAGGATACATGGCATGCAATATAAGCGACTGCTTCTTACCTGAGGCACACCGAGCCAGTCGTCGGCTTGTTGCATGGCTTCTCTTGCATTCTCCACTGGCTGACTCGGGTCCCATGTCTCCCAGTCCGGACACAGGCCTTAGATGAAGACACAGACAGAGTTTGATGCAAACAAGTTAGTCAACTCTTGATAAAACCATGAGAAACATTTTCTAAATCAGAACTGCTACTGTATAGGTCTAAAATGCACTCTTACTTTAAATGATCTTGCATATTGCATTATACACGTAGATGAATACAAAAGAGCCAGAACTGAGCTTTATCTTGGGCTGCAGACCCACTGTTCCACAGCGAGGATCTATTAATCCATGTTCTTTAGTTCAACTTGACCTTAAATGCTCTCAAATGAGCAGTTTCCCGTCAGTTCACCCTTTTTTCCAACCTTTAATAAGCGCGGTCAGGCTCGTAGCACCGAGCGCTTCCCTGAAGCAAACACACACCAGTGCCGTCTGGAGTAAAACTGTTATTATATGCTGGATTACACTCAAAGAGCAAGAGGTGTTTAGTTCAAATGGAACCAGAGAGCCTTGAAACCACAAGACTCCTCAATGACTGCCAAAACGTTAATATCAGATCTAGGATTGTTTTCCAAGATTCTCCAGCACAGCGGCCCCATACTTGGATTGGACAGTTAGTATCTGTAACAGGCCCCATTCTACTGCTAACACTGATAAACCTTTAATTTTAGGTTTTTAATGCATTAAAACTTGCCAAGAGTGGTATTTACAGTTCCCGGCAGATCCAAGATGGTGGTAGGAGAGTAACATAACCACCATTAATAGCGGAAAACAAATTAGGTGGAGGAAACGACAGGGGAGGTAAACAAAGTGTGAATGTGGCACAGTCTGTACGCAGTTATTTTTTGAGGAAAATCATAGTTTAAAAAGTTTGAGACTTCTCAAGTACAGTTCACTTTCCATTAATAACTCATAAAACGTAAATCAAATGAGAAAAATGTCTCATACAATATGAAATCGATCACAAATTGATCACAACTTATTACAATAAAAATATAGCTGATGTTTAGATTTAGAAGGACTTGATTATTCTTTCTGTGCAAGTCAATGGAAGATTATAAAAACTTAGTTTTTCTAAAAATTTATTCAAATAAAATGTGAATAAAGAGAAGTAGGCACATGTCAACACATAGGCACTGAAATACTGGAATAAATACTTCATCTAACTTTTCTGGCTTCACTCCTGCTAAGAGATGCTTTTCCACACATGCACACGGGGAAAAATATAATGAAGTGCATGTTGGCAGGAAATGCATAAAGCAGCATGTGTTTTCACTTAAGCATGTTTGCTGTCTTAGCTTCTGACACTTTCCATTCAGTTACAGCAGAGACCAGGGGCTCATTAGCAGCTAGCGAACAAACTCACACACACCTGAAACATGCAAAGATATTGCATCTTTCAGCTCTCACGATGCTTCTCAGGGTCACAATGTCAACCCTACATTTTTAATTTGAAGACAGTGGTTGTGTTTTATGGCAGTGCCATTCAGTTTCTCAGCATTGGAGGAAAAATACAGCAGTGAAGCCATCTGAGGAGTGCTATTGTTTTATCCAATTGTTTTTCATGTACCACCCCTTGCTGGACTCGACCCAACTAACTTCTAGTTAGCAGCCCTTTCAGTCAGTACCTAAACCACTTCTACTGATGAATCATTTTTAAAGATCTCAATATTACAAGCTGTTTTTGACACCAGTCAAATCCCAGTCCTGCACTTGAAATAATATTGAATGTTAAAGCAGTGCATTTAGTTGTGGCCCAGTGTGTTTGGGTGTGAAATGAACCCTAAAATGAGAGTGTACAGCTGCCTTCCACCCACTGCCACATTTACACCTGTGCTCTTTACTAAAGTCGACAAAAGGACAATGAAACTGCTGTTTGTGTTTGTCAAACATGCTGAACTCTTTTAAAAACACCTCTAAACGACTTGGAAGATGGAAACATTTCAACATAAGCTAATGTAATTCATAAATGTTTAAACGAAAGACAAATCGAGGCATTTAGTACTAATTCTACTTTCTAAATGCATGCTATTTGTCTTATTGTGAACGATTGATCCAAGTTTCATCACATCAAAACACGTAAGAAAAAGTAGGACACATTCCTTGATCAACTCTATCACTCTATCCATTAGGTATCCCTAATATTAGAAGAACATTATTGTTGCTCAAGCTTAGCACTAACTCTAACTTCTGATTATTTGCTTGGAATGTTGTAACAAGTTTGTTGATCCAAGAGCATGTTCTAGAAAACCTCTCCTACTCATTTCCCAAAGGATTTATGGCCAAGTCCTGAGAACATTCACAATGCCAGAATGGCAGCTTTGATTACAGAGTTGACAAGGATGGACATGCACACTTTCAAATGGACTTGACCTGTCCATTAAACCCCCTCTGAACTGCACGGGGTTCTGGATTTTCCACTAGTGTAAGTCCAAACCGATCCAGAAGTATTCGATTCATGAATCATGTTTTGGAAAGCAGTGATCACTTGTTTTGAGGTCGCCAATTGTTCCCTTCTTCTCTTGGCTCTGGTCTTTCCACAGTGAGATCATATGCTGTAATTATCAAACCAGCTTCCCCATCTCCTAAGGCAAAGCAGATTCTGCATGACTCTTAACATCTCCCTGATGAGTATTACTGGTCCCTCAATCTAATTAATGAAGATAGTTTTCCATGTAAGACCAAACGTGATTAATGACACATTTGTCGCCAAGTGGTCATAAACCACAGATTTCTGCTCACCAGGTGCGCAATTATCCACCAGTGCACCGAGGGCTTTGCCATCTCTCCAGTCCCTGTGGAAGTTGTTGATGGGCAGCTGGGGGACCTTGTTCTGGATCCAGCCCAGAAGGCGCTGTTTGGGCGTCAGCTTCCTGGCATCTTCATCGTCCTCATCCTCCCACATGGGCATGGAAATAGAGTAGTGCAGAATAAGGGTCCATATCAGCCCCAGGATCAGTTTTAGGTTGCCGTCCACTATAGCTTTACTATCTGTAATGAGAAAGAGAAAAACTTAAATGTATTATTCCACACATGAGCGCTGAAACACCTTTTGTGGAGATACAGGGAATCATAAAAAGACAATGAGCAGAGAACCATATTGTTTTTGAGACTATTTTAGATCTGAGAGTTTCAATGCTTGGCGTAGGAAACCATTAAACATTCTGAGGTTGGTTTTTATTACTCCTGTGGTGCTACTGTGAACACATATTAGTTTAGGGTGAAGTTCAGAAGCTCAGGGTGAACTGAAGGGGGATCGGTCATGTCAACACGCACCAGAAAAAAAAACGTGTTCAGGCCAAATATGAGCTTAGGGATTTTTTTTTCTCATTTTGTCTCTCATAGTTGAGGTATACCTATGATGAAAATTACAGGCCTCTCTCATCTTTTTAAGTGGGAGAACTTGCACAATTGGTGGCTGACTAAATACTTTTTTGCCCCACTGTACCTTGTCTGAAATAATGACAACACCTGTGTTTATTTTTCAGATGTCCTCCCTAGCATTACGTGTTGTTCTTGAGCCACGATCGTGCCATTTTTTGTTTATCCATAGAGATTCGCAGCGCACTGTTTGTTCTGCTCGCCTGCTGTGTTGATAGCTTTCACAGGTTTAGATGTGCACAAATAAAACAGCAAGGACAAACTCTCTCAACATGGATCTTACGGCTTACTAATGAACACACAAACGTAGACTATGATCCATGTAGTATACTTGAATTCACTCAAACTATACTTTCACATAGGGTACATATTTGTGTCCCATTACTATCCAATTACAATGTAGTAAAGACACAAATCCCATGTTCTTCTGAGAGATAGCTTATAAAAGTTATGCATCTAATACAAAACTAAAATAGCATGTAAAAAAAATTTAAAATAACTAAATAAATAATAATAAAATAAACTGATCATTTAATTATATTAATCAAATATATTATTAATTACAAATAATAACTAGTGACAAATATAACACAAATTGAGGTATTAAACTGTGTTTAGAAATATACTATTTGGTCCAAATGTGATGGTGCAAACCTAATATAAATACCAAAAAATAAAAATAAACGTTCAAGCCCTATTTTATACTCGGTTATTCACAGAAAGTGTTTTTACTCATTACCTTTACCCAAATCTTTCCTTACACTGCTCTGCTACAGTCAAAAGACTCTGGACTACAGTGTGGAATATGAATTAAGATGGACACTACTAAGCCACTGACTGAATGCCAAAGGCTGATGTCATTTAACCCTGGATCTCTGGAATGAGGTCAGTTTAAATAAAACACACACACAGATGAAACTTAATCGGGACGCTGGCTGAATCTGACTACACTTTGCTTCAACCCCCAGCGGAGCTGTCTGCACTAAACACTGCAATGTACGCAGCGGTCTGGGGGTAATCCAATATCTCCAATCAAATAATACTGCCAGTTTCTGTTTTTCTCTCTCATTCTTGCCTTGCTCTAATCAAACAAGTTCCAGATCAAATTCTTCACTGCTCTTTGATATATTACTTTTGAGATTTTCTCATACGTTTGGCGAGGACCGCGTGTTACGCTCACTGTGGCCCCCTCTCAAGAACAGGGTTTAATGTTTTTGGGTTCCTAGGCGCTCTAGATGCTTAGAGAGGAATGCATCCAGACATTTATGTGCACTCTGCATCAATGCCAAGCCCAACAGAAACAGACAAGGAGAAAATATTTGGCAATGTTCTTGATATGTGCCGTTAAGAAAGTATAGAAAGAGAGAATGAGAGTACGATAAAGAGCGAAGAACGGAAAAGTACAGTATTACTATTTCTCTTCCTTATTAATGCATAATATTTTGCATACATATATATTCTGAAGGGCAATGAAATATGAAACAAAATAAGAAAAACTTGCACATCTCCAACATGTTCAAAAGTTTTCACCCCCCGTTTTTTTAATGCACTGTGTTTTCTTCTTGCGCATCAGGGACTGTTTGAATCTTTTGTAATAGTTGCGTTTGAGTCCCTCAGTTGTCGTCACTGTGAAAAAATGGATCTCAGAATCATACGGTCTCTGCTAGAAAGGGTTTAAATATGCAAAAGATGCTGGAAAACCAAGGAATTTGTGGGACCTGGATGATTTTTCTGAAGAACAGTGGGCTCTTTAACTGTCCAGGACAAACAAGAGACTCATGAACAACCATCCCACCAAAAAAAATAAAATAAAATTGTAGATCATGTTTCATGTAGATCAAGCGTATCTAAACTTTTGAATGGTAATTTTTTATAAATTCAGCTATTATTTTGAATGTGGACTATATGTAAATATCTTATTTAGGACAGTTCTAAATAAAAAATAAATAACATGCATTTTGTATGTGTATCTCAGGTTATTTTCCTCCATTTATGTACATTGTTTGCACTGTTTTTGTTTAATAATATTTTCTTTGTAATGTAGAATTATTTACCATGCCAAAAAAGCTGAAAATAGAGGAAGAAAAAGAAGTCAAGAGAGGGATGAGTGAGTGTATGTAATATGTATCTGAAAATGATCAGGTACAGACAGATATCAGACAGCAAGCACACAAAGACACATCTCAGCTGTTCAACACTCATATCACCACTATCAAATATTAATAAACAGGTGTGTGTCGGCTGTTTGCCTCAGGGGATCTAGATCCTCATCTGACAATATACAATATACATACAAAATAAAAGGTCTCAGTATAAATATCAAATATGACAGAGTAGGTGCACTCATACACTGAGCAAGCGCAAACAGCTATTTGATCTAGGCTACTTTTCCTAAAAGCTCCTTATAAGACAAAGAATTTTCAGATTTGCATCTAAGAGAGTGGAGTGGTTTTAATTCTCAATGCATTGCATGTCTTTAATTCTTCAAACCACCCTGGGAAAACCCAGCAATGTGCACCCCTGCAAAACACAAACTTCTGAAGATAAAACACATTGCCCAACACACAGCACCATCGAAGCAGCTGGATTCAAACACACTTAATGAAAGACATCAGAACTAAGTGTTTCCTTCCGACAACATACAGTGCCGTGGCTGCAAACGAAGCCTTTATGAGGAACGGCTGATGACATGGGCCAGGAATTCCAGCCTGCTAGGGTACAGCACCACCACATAATGGGCAGGAAAACAAATATGGGATCAGAGCCTGGGAAAAGACCATTTAGGACAGTTAGAAAGGAAAGGATAGCTTATGGAGAGTGGGGGTAATTCAGAGAACAAGCAGAAGTGTTTTCTCATTTGTCTCACTCCAAAATGAGGTGACAGATTGTTGGCCCATTCCATGTCTCTCCACATTTTGTGAATTAATAATCACAATACTGTATATGGCTATGAAGGGAAAATGTCACCAAAATGTATAAAAATGTTTAGATCGCTTTTAATAACTAGATCAAATTAGATCACTTTATTAACTAGATAACTAAATTAAAACTAGGCAGTCAGCGTTGTTATTGTTAACTAAACTAAAACTATAAACTAAAACTATATAAAAAAATTTTTTTTTAAATGTTAGATGAAAAAACGAAAAAAATAAAAAATAAAAAAAAGCGAAAATTTGAACTGTTGCCTTGGCAACTAACTGCAATAAAATAAGTTTAGGTTGAAGTACCAAATTACTAAAACTGAAATAAAAATGAAATGAATTATAGCTAAGAATATGAATTAAGGCTTTATAAATAAATGTAAGCACATAACAAAAATTACCAAAACAAACTAAGATTTAAATGAAAACAAAATATAAAAACAAAAGCTAATTCAAAATATGAATAAATACTATAATAGTATATAAATAATAAAAAAATAACTGCATAACTAAATAACTACAACATTTTCTTAAAAAATAATGAAATAATAAATTATGCTTGCTTTAGCATATCTCATAATAAGTATGAGAAACAGCTTCAAAAGCTCAATCTGCTGCGTGAACGCAGCATATCTCTGGTTCTGTGAGTAATGAGACACTTTCCTAACCCTGATTAAAGCCAGTCTGGATCATTCACATCCTCCCTCCGCTGAACCACACCAACAAGACGAGATAAAAATAATGAAACAGATGCTGGAAACATTTTATAAGCCACTGTTGGCAAAAGCTATAGGAGAAAACACATGTAATGGTGTTACTGCAGCGCGTACAGATGCATTCATCTTGAATCCAGCTGTTGGTGATTGCTGCTCTTTTCAGCTAAAAGCAATTGCTTCATTTCACTGATGAACAGCATATTATCATTGTTTGGAAGTTCTTCAAAGGAGGGAATTCACTAAGAATGGACTGCGCTGGCTGATAGGGCTATTTGCATGCAGTGCGTGCATTGTTTTAGCAACCAATTCAGTAAGGGAATTATGAAACGCTGCAATCACGATGACAAATTTGTGCTGAATGCAATTTTCATGATGTGATTTCTAGGGATGCACCGGTCAGTTGCATTATCATCAACATACAGCGAATTACACAAAACACTTATTACAACTAACAGTAAACAAATATATACAGATCTCATGCCTTTTCGGGGGGTGCTTAATAAACTGACAAACTTTAAATCCGAAGAACTGCGTGCTTTCATTGCCCATATAGCTCCGTAGACTAGAAAACCCGTCAAAATAAGAGTCTCGCCTTAGTAAAGGAGATCTGGACATATTTAAACTTACAAAAAAATTTAAAATGTATACAAAAACAAATTAGAAGATTAAACATAATGAAGTCTGTTACAATAAAGAAGGATTAATATGTATTTAATTTATACAGTGAAGTGCTTTTTTACATTTGTTTACTTTATTTCTGTACCTGAAAACTGTTAAACCTGTATCGGCCGCCGATATTTATCGGCCGATTTTTCCTCAATTTACAACCATTGGCATATCGGCTATATAAGGAAAAAGGCCGATATAACAAACCGATGATTTATTAATTAACTGCGTGAAGGCACTGAGCTGTATAATGTCTGTTGCATAGTCCTAGAGCTTCTGTCTGCACTTTAATGCTAATCAAATAACAAAAAAAAACATGATTAAAATACTATCTATTTTGATGCCAAAATTTCAAATTAGAGAGGAAGTGAAAAATATCGGTATCGGTATCGAAATCGGCCAATAAGTATTTGTTAAAATCGGTATTGGTATCGGCCCCAACAAATCATATCGGTGCATCCCTGGTGATTTCCCATCTTGCAGGTTAATTTTGAGTGCAAAGAAATGCCGTTTGCAGCAGACAATTTGTGACTGTCTTTAATTCTTTAAAGTGGAAATATAAAAACAAAAGCTAATACATAATGTTAATAAATATTACAATAATATATCATTAATACTAAAATAAGGCTGCTAGTGTTTAAATATTTTCAAATATTGTTCACTTATTTAGTTTGCACTTAAAATGACAATACAGCAATACACCAGCACAGTTAACGCTGTGATTAATTGTTAAATTGGATAAAGTTGAGTGATTGTTTAGTGAATTTGCCCCTGATGGTTTTAAAAAGACTTATTCTTTCATTGCGTGCAAATGGCAAAATATTAAAGGAAAGCAGATCCATAAAACAGATCCTCTCTAAAAACTCTAAACACTATAAATTGGAATTTTCTTGGCAAATTCTGAAAACAACTTAATGTTTTCTGTTTTGTACTGATTGTGTTCAATCCTGCCATCTTTGTTAT